CAAGTATTATATATAACCTGACTGGACCGTGAACCCCCCTCTAAGAAATCAGCTGATTTCTGGCAGCCCCCTAAGGGTACCCAAAATAGTCAAATTCTATACAAAGTCATATTCTTCAAGATCTTGATATAGTATATGAAGAAAATTCAAGATTAACAAAACAGATTAATATTGAAGAAAAGAATAATGATATTAAACCAAAAGTAGAAAGTCAACATTGTGGTAATTGCTATGGAGCAGAACATTATAGTACTACTTGCAAATTTCCTAAAGATTTTTTAAATAATTCATATAGTAGGGCTTTATGATTATATATTATATAAGGTTAATGAATAGGCTAAAGTATTCAGAATTGTATGATGCTTTGAGTAAATTATCTGATTGTGTTTGCCAATAATTGTTTTACATATTTGTTTTTTTTTTGAATTAATTAGCTAGCCTGAATCAAAATAAAAAATAAATCTTTTGCTATAACTTGCTGTAATCAAAATTAATTTTTCATTATTATAAAAGCTTACTTGAAATTTATAAAATGACATGCAATTTAATTTCAAACTAGAAATACATGAAGATGTTCTGTTTTTATTTTTTTTGTTGTAAAAATTAGAATAACCATCTATTTTTTTCTTTTTTAGATTCGATATTATATATGCATATTGTATTCATAGTGTAAGTTATTGGCTTAACAAAGTATATAGACCCCCAAAAGTAGAAACCAGAAAATTTGGCTGATCACGGGTTTTGAGAAAATCGGCAAAAACTATTTTGTTATACAAAATTAAAACAATCTAAAAATAGGTTATTTATAATTAACAAACCTGTTTAAACAAGATTATTAGAGCTGTAGAACTGTAGATTGTATAGTAAATCATAGTAAATCTATTTTTAGATTATAGCGTCAAAAGCTTTTAATTGTTGTATCGCAAAAATTTATTAAGTAATCAGACTTTTATTATTAAGTAAAAAAGATCGAGCTTTAAATTTTACACCTAATTAATCAAACAGGTTAAATTTAAAAAAATTGTCAAATTTCTTGGTTTCTACTTTTGATGATCTATATGATTTTTAAGTACTACTGTAGACTTCAATCTATAAGAATTTTAGATATCATTCCAGTCTTATTCTAATTTGTTGAATAACAATCATATTTAACTTATATATAGATTAGTTCTTATTGTTTTGCATACTAAAGGCAAGTATTTAGCTAGTAATTGTCTGTATTTAGCAATACTATATATTGTTTTTATATTAAGAATGAATTCAAACACGAAGCAATTAAAACAGTAAATATTTCTGTAATTCATATCAGCGTACATATTTGTTTATCTATTGTGAAGTACAGATTACTAAACTAGTATTAATTTCAATCTATTTTAATACCAAAAAATGTAGTAAAACGAATACATACTAAGAAATTAGAAAACTAAATAGACGCTGTATTCAAAATTTTTAACTATTTGGATAAAACAAACAGCCTGAGAATTTTAATTATCATATATATCTTTTTTGCAAATATAATATTTTACTCATAAAATATTACTATAAAGACTGTTTATTAGTAATCTAGTAATATGAGTAACATAGCAGCATATATTGTTATGTATATTTAATAAAGGTTATAATAATTAAAACTTTGCAAATAATAAAGATTTTTGTTAAATTTAGTATTATATTAAATTTCTATTAATTTTATTAGACAATTTTTGCAATAAATTACGTGACTTGTGATATTACTTTTTTTTTTTTTTTTCTAAAGCAATCTGTTTGCTTTATTTATGAGAAGAAACTTCACTAGTATGAGGCACATACT